AGCGTTAGCTCAGGTTTGAGCAGTGTTTCAAGCAACTTAAGTAGTGTAAGCGCGGCGTTAAGTGGCGTTACATCCAGTTTAAGTAGTGTTTCTAGTAACTTAAGTAGTGTCAGTTCTGGCTTGAGTAGCGTTAGCTCAGGTTTGAGCAGTGTTTCAAGCAACTTAAGTAGTGTAAGCGCGGCGTTAAGTGGCGTTACATCCAGTTTAAGTAGTGTTTCTAGTAACTTAAGTAGTGTCAGTTCTAGCTTGAGCAGCGTTAGCTCAGGTTTGAGCAGTGTTTCAAGCAACTTAAGTAGAGTAAGCGCAGCGTTAAGTGGCGTTACATCCAGTTTAAGTAGTGTTTCTAGTAACTTAAGTAGTGTCAGTTCTGGCTTGAGTAGCGTTAGCTCAGGTTTGAGCAGTGTTTCAAGCAACTTAAGTAGTGTAAGCGCGGCGTTAAGTGGCGTTACATCTAGTTTAAGTAGTGTTTCTAGTAATCTAAGTAGCGTAAGCTCTAGTTTGAGTAGCGTATCGAGTAGCTTAAGTAGTGTCAGTTCTGCGTTAAGTAGTGTTGCTTCCAGTATAAGCAGTGTATCTAGTACCTTGGTTGGGGTTAGTAATAATTTAAGCAATGTGAGTAGCACATTGACCAATGTCAGCTCAGGTTTAAGTAATGTGAGTAGCACGTTAAACAATGTCAGCTCAGGTTTGAGTGATGTGAGTAGTGGTTTAACAGCTGTTAGTTCAACTTTGCAAGGGGTGAGTTCGAGTTTGGTGGATGTGAGTTCGGCTGTCACATTGGTTAGTAGTGGTTTGTCAGCAGTAAGTAGTTCACTTGATTCAGTTTCAAGTGCTGTAACTAATGTCAGTTCAAGTGTTGGAGTGTTGTCTAGTGGGCTTAGCGCAGTCAGCTCATCGTTAACTCAGGTTTCGAGTACCGTAACCAATGTGAGTTCAACTTTACAACAGGTTTCAAGTACTGTGACGACCTTCAGTTCCAGTATTGCCGCGGTTTCGAGTACCGTAACCAATGTGAGTTCAACTTTGCAACAAGTTTCAAGTACTGTGACGACCTTTAGTTCAAGTATCGCTGCAGTGTCGAGCACGGTTGTGAATGTAAGCTCTGGTTTGGCACAGGTTTCAAGTGGTTTAACTTCGGTATCTAGTGCAGTGACCAGTGTGAGTTCTACGCTATCGAGCGTGAGTTCGAGTTTAGTTGGTGTGAGTTCTAGCTTGGTTGGTGTATCGAGCAGCTTAACAAGCTTGTCATCAGCATTCCAAGCCAGTGGTATTGGGAATAATAATGCTAGTGGAAGTGGAGCTACAGCGTTAGGTAGTGGTTCAAATGCTACTGGGGTAGGCGCGGTAGCGTTTGGTCAAAATGCGAACGCTGCGGGGGATGGGTCAACAGCAATTGGCACAGGAGCCGTGGCAAGTGGCAATAATGCAACGGCGCTAGGTAACGGTGCTCAGGCTACACACACCAACTCTGTGGCCATTGGTGCAGGCTCAGTGACGAGTGAAGCCAATACGGTTTCGTTTGGTTCTTCAGGTAAGGAGCGTCGCTTAACTAACGTAGCACCAGGGGTAAACGGTACGGATGCGGTGAATCTTGATCAACTTAACGGTGCAATTTCTGGTGTACGAGATCAAGTTGGCAATGGGGTGGCAACGGCAAATGCGTTAGCGGCACTGGGACATCTGGATAGGGATAAAGTTGTAGGGGTTGGTGTTGCTACGGGTGGTT